ACCCCGTTGCACACCGTTTCCAGGAAACATGTCGTTCAAACCGGAAACCGTAGCAAAACGGTGCACGCCGGTTTAAGCTTGAACTTGCCCCAGGTCTCGCTTGTGTGAAAATCTCCCTCCGCTGTTGTCCTGGAAACTGATCCTGAGTCAGTTCTGCATTGCCATGGGACGCGACCGCGGGTCATTGCGTACAGTAACGGCTGGTCTGAGAACAGCACAAGAGGCGGATACAGAAGGCGAGCCAGGCACTTCGTGGTCTCTTGTGATTGGTCGAGAGCGTCAGCTGTGGACCAATGAGCGGCAGACATCTGTGCAGCCACGCGCTTCTCCAGAGCCACCACGGATAAACCGAGCGCAGCAGAGCGCGAGAGGGAGTGTGCAGGCTATTTCTTGAAATTATCGAAAATGCAAATGATTACATTATTCCATATCGTTTCTGCCTTATTATTGGCACTGGCTGTCAATGCAGAGGTGTACTTTAAAGAGCAGTTTCTGGATGGAGGTGAGTGTTTCATTTGAACTTGCACGTCATGGTTGATTTGTAGGTCACAACATTAAAAGTGGTTATCGAATGAATAATTAATAGACTGTGATGTTTAATTATATTTTTGTTATGTTTGGAAAATGCATCTGATTGCTTATTACTCAGCAGTATTGGTTTATGCATATTAGTTTGCCAGAGCAAAAATTAAACCATCAAAAATGATCTTTCTTTCTTTCTTTCTTTCTTTCCATTGCACAATGTATGCTACAGTACTGAAGAAGTGCATTATGGTACATGTTGCATATTCATTAACGTTTAAAAACATAAAATAAAAAATGTTAGGTTACATTTTAGCTTCTGTATGCTTGTGTACTCCTAAAAGTTGACAAAATCAACAATTAAAAGTTAAAATGTCTATTCTGGGACAATGAATCAGAGGTTCTGATGACTAGTCTTGCACTTAGGGGCGTGTCCAAATGTTTGTCCAATAAAATGCTCTGTTGAATGAGAAGCCACGCCAACTGAGACCCCGGCAGCTGGACAGCAGTAGATGTTTCACGGCAGTGATGCAAACTAAATCCTGTTGTCTGTTGAAATAGTTTTATGGCATGTCACACCACACCACAGGATGCTGCTTAAATTTCATGTGCCCACTGCATCATTCCAGGCCTTGTCTAATTGGTTTGTTAATTGCACAAGATGTGCATTAGCACATGCATGTGTCTATCAAGAACAGGAAGTTTCTTAAGTTATTCCACAAACGTCCTTAAATATCAATCATTAAATGTGTGTGGAATGTGATTGGAACTGCAACCCTCATTAATTCATCTAGTTTCCTCTTCAAGTTTAGATAAAGAGCTAGATAAAACCTTATTTGTACAATTTGGGTTAGTAAGTTAGTTGACGATGACATAAATATTCATATAGTGTTTTTTTTAATAATGTCTTTATATAAAATGTGTTTTTTAAATAAAAATGTAATTATATTATTTTTACTCATTATGTAGCACCTCATTTTAATATAATTTTTTATTGTCATTTGTTATTATATTGTATATTTCTTTTCTGGTGATTTCTTGTTTTGTTTTAAAGCTTTGGCAATACTTTATATAAACACAATCATGCCAATAAAGTATTTTTAAAATGTTATTTGCATGAAATGTCCTTTTATTTGATTTAATTTCAGTTAACATTTATTTTATTTCAAGTAATGAAAATGTTTTTAAATGTTTTTAGTTTTAGTTAACTGTAATAATAACCCTGGTTTGTTTCATAACTGATTAACTTTGCAACGTTGACGCTGTTGTCAAACTGAATTGAATCTAAATTGATCTGAATAATGACACTGTTGTCTTCTGTAGAGCTGCTTTACAGCTAAAATTGAATTTGTTTCATAATAGTTGAATTTTACAACATAAACACTGTTGTTGTCCTGTTTTTTAATGTGCAGCTGCTTTGAAACCGTCCGTATATTTACATGCAATTTCCCTTTTTAGGATGCTATTCATGTTCTCAACTCATCCTCATTCACAGTTGCATTCACTTTTATTGTTTTAGCCTTATTTCTTTGCTTCTATTTCTATTCGCAGATGCCTGGAAGAGTCGATGGCTGAACTCAGAGCACAAGTCTGACTATGGCCAGTTCAAACTGACTTCTGGAAACTTCTATGGAGACGCTGAGAAAGACAAGGGTAGGCGTTTGCATCCCTAAGGACGTCACCTTTGGTTCAGCAAAGAAGCTGAGTTTGCTTCACTTTTGCTATCTCTTTGTCCACCAACAGGTCTGCAGAGCAGTCAGGATGCCCGTTTCTACGCCACCTCTGCCCGCTTCGAGCCCTTCAGCAACGAGGGCAAGCCTCTGGTGATCCAGTTCACCATCAAACACGAGCAGAAGATCGACTGCGGAGGCGGATACGTTAAAGTCTTCCCGGCTGATCTCAACCAGGCTGGCATGCACGGAGACTCCCAGTATTACATCATGTTCGGTACGTCAACCAAGACTCTTTTGTGAACGCCTGGATTTATTATAGGAAACGGGTCATTTATTTCAGTTTTCTCGTCTAAATCATCTCAACAGGGCCTGATATCTGTGGCTACAGCACCAAGAAGGTTCACGTCATCTTCAACTACAAAGGCAAGAACCACCTCATCAAGAAAGATATCAAATGCAAGGTGAGGTCCTGTTAAAAAGTCAAATAAAATCCAGGGGTTTAAAAGACAATTCATATTCAGTAATATCATCGATTTAATGCACTGACACTGTCGGACAAGAACAAAATTTGTGGATAAAGACTGGATTCCTGAATGATTCAGCCGTTCGAACGAATCAATTGAATGAATGATTCAGTGATAAAATCAGTGACTTGCCGACACCTGCTGGCGGATTTAGTTTCATTTTTAGCATATAATTTCAGTTATTTAAATCATTTAATATTTCTGT